AAAAAAAAAAAAAAAAAAAAAAAAATCTACATGGAAAACATCACAAGAAAAGAAACAAGCAAACGGCAAAATGGGGTGGAAAGTATTTACAAGTCTTATTACAGGCAAAGATTTCAATTCCCTGATACATAAATGGGATTCTATAAATCGTTAAGGAAAAGAACCAAAATAAGAACAAAAAAAGGACAGAAATGTCAACAGGCAGTTGACACAAAAGGAAATATAAATGGGATTTAAAGATGCTTAATTCTACTCATATTAAGGAAATGAATATTAAAACGACATTGAATATTAAATGAATATTAAAGCCACTTTTCACCTAGGAGGCTAGAAAAAAACAATTTCCATACTTTTATGCATTGTTGGTACATAGCCCCACTCTCATCCACCTATTGGGTAAATTTTAGCAGTATCTATTGAAATTAAAAATATATCTATGCTTTCACCCAACAATTCTACTTCTAAAAACTTTCCTATAGGTACACTTGCATACCAATGAAATTATGTATGTTCAAAGTTATTCATTACAGCAGTATAACAGCAAAAGACTAGAAACAACCTCCTCTATTAATCAGAGGCTGATTAAATAAACTATTGCATGTCTATCTAATGGAATTCTAGGTACCTATTTTTTTAAAAACCGAGAAAGTTTTCTAGGTCTTAACATGGAAAAGTCTCCTAAATAAACTGTGAAGCGAAAAAAGCAAGTTGCAGAAAATTATATGTATAGTATGCCATCATTTGGACAAAAAATGAGGTACAAGAAATGATATCTAATATTGGCTGATAAATGAGTAATATGCATTGAATGATAAATTTGTTTAGGAGAGACATTAAACAGATCAGGGAGCTGGAAGGAAGGGAGGTTTTTACTACATAAATTTGTATACATTTTATGTTCAAACCGTGTGACTGTATAACATTCAGATTTTTTTAAAGCATAATGTGAAGGAAACAAAAATGCTACAACCAATGAAATGGGATTCAGAGTCGAGAGGTTTTTTTTCTATAACAAGACTCTAGATCAATAACTTAATGTCTAATAAAAGAAAAATTATCTAGTATAAATTTTCATAAAGCTAGTACTAAATATATTGAGAGTACTGAAATCTTGGTTAATTAAAACTCATAAAACTAGAATCCTATTTAAATTGGAGAATAAAGCAATAAATTAAAGTCATTATCCAGAATTTTAAAATATATTAATTAAAAGAATGTTTAGTTTCTGGTTCAATATCCTATACACAACCTTTGGGACTGTTAAATTATCCTGCCAAATTGGAAGAAGATTCACAATTATTCATTTTTAAAAATCACTTATGTTCATTATATTCATGTGAACAAGGCAAAAGGTTGGACTGCCTTGTTCTTAAAGCTTAATTGGCAAGGAACAATCCATTTCCCAAGAAGCCTAGTTTACCAAAGTTTACTGACTTTAAAATACTATGGTATAATCAAACATGTTTTTAATATAAAGGCAGTACAAATACACTAATAAACATATATTCTTACTTAATGAGGCTATAGCACACAGCTCGTAGGGGTTCGTGATCTTTTTTCCTTATATTATTGTTGACCATACTATCTAGTTCATCCCGAGCAAATCGAAGCTGAACTTCTGTTACACTGTAGCTTGCTGATTCCCGAGCACAGTCCTCGATGTTATGAGCTTCATCTAAAATGACAACCTGTTCTTTCAGATTTAAATCCATCTATAAGATAAAAGATTTTGTTGTAAAACATTTGGCCAAATGGATTTAATAATAGCAGGTAAGATATTTCATTTAAAAATTCACACTATAGGCCAATATTACAAATGCAATTACATAAGCAACCGATTTTAGGAATTAAACAAAACTTAAACACTGAGGCCAACTAAATATCAGGTCTACATTACCGAGTCTGCCCCTTTTTTACTCTCAAAATACTTTGTAAACCTATCAACAGCAACAAAAATATGTAAGTGAGCCTGGATCAAGGTACCACTGGCTGAGCAGAAGGGTATAAAATCCCACTATGAAAACATTTCCAAAATATTTTTACAAACTAAGCATAAGACCTTTAAAAATAAACATAAAAGATTACAAGCATAAAACCTTTAAAAGTAAAATAATAATACGAGATTAGGCCAGGCACAGTGGCTCATGCCTGTAATCCCAACACTTTGGGAGGCCAAGGCTGGTGGATCATTAGGTCAAGAGACGGAGACCATCCTGGCCAACAAGGTGAAACCCCGTCTCTACTAGAAATACAAACAAACAAAAAAAATTAGCTGGGCTTGGTGATGCATGCCTGTAATCCCAACTAATCAGGAGGCTGAGACAGGGGAATCATTTGAACCAGGGAGTCAGAGGTTGCAGTGAGCCAAGATTGCACCGCTGCACTCCAGCTTGGGCAACAGAGCAAGACTCGGTCTCAAAAAACAAACAAACAAACGAACGAACAAACAAAACACAAGACTAAAATGACTCTTAAAATACTAACATAATATAGTGTGTATCTGTTTCATTTTAATCTGTCCTGCAATCCTTCTCCAACATGGGAGGTGGAGAATTGTTCTTCTCTAACTCCCAAGTGATGCTGGCAGGACTATTAACCTATGAATCAAAGAACATCACTACTTTCACAGCAGGGAAAAGACCAAGATTGTCAGTTAAATAGAGTATTCCATTCTTCTATGGTCAGAGTGAATAGTTCAGGTTCAGGAATAGACATGTGATCCATACTAGGCCAATCAGAGTATTCTGGAGGGACTAATATGTGGCCATGCTCTTTCCTCCAGGTGAGCTAGTTGCTTATGGTTATCTTTGTTCCATAAGCAAGAGTGAGAACTTGCCTAAGAATAAAGCCATCACAATAAAGAGAATCAAGAATTTTTTCTTAAGCTCTTTTTAGGCTGGGTTTGTGTCACTTGTAATTGAAAGCATACTGACTAATACAAGGAACTGTCACAAAGCAATTGTTAATGAGTTATTTTGAGGAAGTAAGAATACACAGAGAGCTGAAAAGTTGAGAAAGAACCATGGAAGAGTAGGAAATATATTTGGGTTTAAAAGATAAGTAACATTTGAATTTAGACAGCAAAGAGAGGGTCAGGCATTCCAAAGAGGTGTCGTCAAAAGCAAAGATAAAGAACGAAGTATCCTCAAGGGAGTATGAGGTAATTTTTGAAAGATTCAAATTAGGCAGATCCAGGTCAGACTATTGTGCAACTTGAGTGTAGTAAGCTTAGGAAATATAAACTTTATCTCATGCACAAAGGAAGCAATAGATTTTTAAGCAGATAAAAGGATGTAATAAAAGCAGTATTTGGAAAACTGATCTGGCATTGATATGCACAGTGTCTTAGAGGGAAGAGACCTAGTTAAGAGATTACCAAATAAGTAGGATAGGAGGAGCAGTAAACATAATGCCTATTAATTTGGATCTTAAAGAAATAGAAAGCTGGGATGAATTGTGCAGTCAGACCTGAAGACAGGACTAACAATTGACTATGCCAAGTTATTCACTTTTTGTCTTATGCTGTTAACAATTGCATGTCTCTGAAAAGAACCAGGCAAATAAACACAAATGCCATATCTGAAGTTCACTTCTCAAAAGTTCACAAGGTATAATTTGCATAGTGTGTATATTCTCCCAACATAAGTTCTTCAAAACATAGTTTTAAATAATTCTTTTTGAATATTTCATAAATACAAAGAGAAACCCTGCTATAATCCCACTTCAGTCACTATGTTCCTTAAAACTGCTTATTTTGGAAACTAAAATGAGTGGGTCGAAAACTGTTGTTAATACACCTTAGAATATGTTTTCAGTACTCTAGTATGTTTACAGAAATTTACATAAATTAAAGTGAAAAAACACATTAAAACATCTAAAAGCTTTTATATTCAACATTTATATCTCCATGAGTAGGAAGAGTTCTAAATTTTACACATATACTCACAGTTTCCCTTATTTGTGCATCTAGAAGATAGTTGTAGGGACAAAATATGATGTCAGCGTCTTGTATTAGTTCTCGGGCTGTGTAATATGGACAGGCCCTTAGTTTCTTCCCTAAGCTGACAAGTTCTTCTATATCCCAGGCTTTGCACATCCCTTGGAAAGTCTGTAATGTGTGCTGATCACTAATTTTATGAACTCCATGATAAAAATAGCAGGATTTTCCCTAGAAACAAATATGCATAACGAAAATGTGAACCAATACTGGAATAAAATAAATACAGTAAGTTTATCTCAGAATTTGAGGAACATCATTAAAGCCACAAGGCTTAGATTTTACTGACTATGCCACCACGCCCGACTAATTTTTTGTCTTTTTTGGAAACAGATAATACCATAGCTATAATCACAACCAAGTTTGGTTGACTCAGACTTAGAACTCCAAATCAGAAGAGCTCCAAATACCCTAAATTAACTTGAAAAAATATATTTTTAAAATATATTCGTTATGGCTTTTTTTCTGATTTAACTGATGTTACGCATGAAATATTTCTGGAAGGATTCACAAAACAATGGTATCACTAGTTGCTTCCAAGGATGAGAATTAAGTGACAAGGGCACAGGAGTGGGAGATTTTTCTCTGTAGACCCTTTCGTACCATTTCAATTTTGAGCCATGTGACAGTATTTCTTATTCAAATATGAATAAGAAGGAAGGTAAGTAGGTAGGTCGGAATGTCCTCAGGGAAAATAAAGAAAGAGTATTCACTACAAAAAAATTCGGGAATACCAAAAAAAGTCTAAATTATTCATAATTCCATTATACAAAGAATGCACTAGAAACATTTTGGTGTATTTCATTTCATATTTCTTCCATACATGTATACATAAGGATATATATACAATGTGACCCAATATTAAAATAACAAGAACAAGGTAGGCATGATTACAGGTGTCAGCACTTTGGAAGGCTGAGGCAAGAGGATTATTTTAGGCCAGGAATTTGATACCAGCTTGGGTAATGTAGCAAGACCGTCTCTACAAAAAATAAAAAATTTGCTGGGATTGGTGGCGCACATCTGATGTCCTAGCTACTCAGGAGGCTGAGGCAGGAGGATCACTTCAGCCTAGGAGTTTGAGGATACAGTGAGCTATAATCACACCACTGCACTCCAGCCTGGGTGACAAAACAAAGCCCTATCTCTAAATAGTAATAATAAAAAGAACAAAGCAAATGTTCCCCAGACATTGAGGATTATTAACAATCTAGCCACAACAAATAAAACGTTTTATAAAACTGTATTCACTTTGTTTTCCTCTGCCTAGTGTATTAAAAATCACACCAGGAAAATCTTCTGACATCACTAAGCATCTTTTCATTGCTGCTCATATATGTACATTGAATTAATGTGCCATAGCTGATGAACCAGTTTTCTTATTACTGGGCTTATAGACTGTTACCAATTTCCACTTTAAACATAAGGCTGCAATGAGCATTCTTATGCTGGTTTCTAAATATTTTCTTGGTATACATTTTTAGAAATGCCATTATGAGATCAGATGCTACGACGTATTTTTAAGTTTCTTGAAAGCATATAGTGAAATTATCCTCCAGAAAGTATATACTGTTTTGCATTACCCTTTTCCCACATCCTTATTAACACTAACAGTATCTTTTCTTATATCTATTTTAAAAGCAAAAATAGAATCTTGTTTTGATTTATATTCTTTATGGTTTCTAGCAAAGTTTAACATAATGTTGTATACACAGTCTAACAAGGTTTAACAGTAATTTGTGTTTCTTCTTTTATGTTATCTACTGATGTTCTTTGCCATTCTATTACTTTTTTTTTTTTTTTTTT